TTGCTTATTTCTATGACATAAGTTCTATTTTCTTCCATTCTCACAGTCGTAGCTACATAATCTAAAAATAGCACGATAAATTCTTGCCTGGCCTCCATTTTATGGCGTATCATTAAACGGCTATTTTCCCTACTATTTTGATGAAGCGAAAATAACATTGTTGCGATTCATGGGGAGCAGCTCAATACCTCCATTAGATGGGTCTTTTCAGGTCGATGATCTGAAACGTCCAAGAAATGAAGAGGTAGACGTTTCTTCCAGAAATTTGTGTTACACCTTTTGAGCATTTTTGCGTAAACCGAGGAAGAATAGAGGCCACTACAGCATTTGCTCCCTCGTCGCCAGATGGGATCTCACTCTGGACCTCAACGCACAAAATGCATCAATTTCTACTACCATTATCGACAATAATATCCTAAGTCCTAACTCATCAAAGTTCATGTTTTGGTGGCGTTTATCGAATTTGTCACCTTGGTGTATATATACTGTACACGGCTGTTATGTTTGAGAATTGGTATTAAAATTAGCCAATAAATTTTTGCATTAATAATTACCTCGACTGAATTTTTTGCATGCATTTATTGTAATGATTAGGATACGATTTGGTATTCACGAGGTTTAATGATGTGAATTTTGTTTCCCAATAATGTTTTTGATCTGAAGGAGCGGAATAATTTAAAGTTGTGCGTGCAGAACTGCGGGCTGTACAGTGAAACTTGGCCACGAAATGTCAGCTCATGTTAGGGTAAATTACTCTTAGTCAGCAGAACTTTCAGCGTTTTGGAGTTAACCCTCGATAACTTTCAAATTACTTTTTCACATTGTTTTCTTCTTCTAATTTTATGGGGTTACATGCAAAATGCAAAATGCGGAAACTTATTGCAGGTTTTCTGTAATTTTAAAAAGTTAGTGGGGACTTAGTGTGATTTTGCAAGGTAATGGGGGTTGACTGCAAACAATTGAAAGTTCATGGGGATTTAGTGCAATTTAGCCTTCTTGAGCATCTCCATCAAGCTCCTAGTAGGAAGTCCTTGTTGGACTGCAAACAATTGAAAGTTCATGGGGATTTAGTGCAATTTAGCCTTCTTGAGCATCCCCATCAAGCTCCTAGTAGGAAGTCCTTGTTGGAGAGCTCTCAAGCCCTCTCAAGATCATGACCCACCATTTTTAATGTCACATCACCCTTCTAACTAATGTTGATCTCAAATAAGCTCCTAGTTAGGAGCTCCAACAATATCAAAAAAACATCTCTTCTATTTTATTTTTGTTACTCATTACTTTTAATTATATTTAAACCCTTTTTATTTGATTCCTAACTGTTGGACACGGTTTTCGAAGGAGCGTGCACTTTCATCGACAACCAACATAATCCTATCCACTGGGCACGATCTTCGAGGTAACCCACGGTCTTCAAGATTGCCTATATTTCCACCGACAACCGAAAGATTCATATTCGTTGGGCACGGTCTTCGAGGGAACATGCACTTTCACTGACAACTGACAGATTCCTATCCGTTGGGCACAGAGTTCGAGGTATCACACAATTTGACCGTCAACCGACTGATTCCCATAAAATTCGACGCCTTCTCACCTCAATCCATCATCTCCCACAACAAAATGTCTAGCTCAAGCGATGATGAAATGATGAAGATGTTATTTCTTATGAGAGCTGCTGTTGTCGAGGAAGAAGAACAAGAGAAAGTTGGAACTGCATGTCAACACAAAAGACGTATCGTGCTCCATCGAAACCGATTGGAAGGCCACAATCGGTTGTTCTAAGATTATTTTGCAGACACACCAACCTATCCTCTTCATAATTTTTGTCAAAGATTCAGAATATCGCGTTCGTTATTCCTTCAAATCCACAATGCAGTCGTCGAACATGATGAGTACTTCGTCCAAAAGAGGAATGATGCTGGACAGCTGAGACTATCTAGCCTTCAAAAGATTACTGTAGCTATGCGAATGCTCGCATATGGAGCATCCGCTGACTCCGTTGACGACTACGTTCGGATCAGTGAAAGTACGTAGATTGAGAGCCTGAAGAGGTTCGTTCGATCGATTATCGACATCTTTAGGGAGGAATACCTTCGTTCATAGACTAATGAAGACGTTGCACGCATGCTTGAGGAAGGTTCACAGCAAGGTTTTCCTAGTATGCTTGGGAGCATCGACTGCATGCACTGGATATGGAAGAACTGTCCAACCGCCTGGCATGGTATGTATGCTGGGCATTTTCATGAACATATAATTTTTTTGGAGACTGTAGCTAGCAAAGATCGTTGGATATGTCATGCCTTCTTTGGACTGCGGGGGTCTCACAATGACATCAATGTTCTATATCGTTCACCGATTTTCGCACAGCTTGCGGAGGGAAGAGCTTCACCGTGCAACTATACTATCAATGGCCATGAGTACAATATGAGATACTATCTCGCCGACGAGATTTACTCAGAGTGGTCCACATTAGTGAAGACTATTCCAGCACCTCGAGGAAAAAAATTAGTACTTTGCTCAACAACAAGAGATAGCAAGAAAATATGTCGAGCGAGCTTTTGGTGTGTTGCAAGCTCGATTTGTAATTGTTAGTGGATTAGCACGTTTCTGGCAACATAGTGCGCTGAAAGACATCATGACAGCTTGCATCATAATGCATAACATGATCATTGAAGATGAACGAGATTGTCAATTTGGCAACAACTTTGACTTTGTTGATTCGATATCAGTCGTTGAACCTTCTCAAGTGCAAACGGTACCTCTAACTGAGTTCATCCAAAATCATCATCAGATCAGGAACACACAAACACACAAATTACTAAAGAATGATTTGATCGAGTATCTATTGCAGCTCAAGGGATCCATAGCCGAGAATTAAGTTTCTTTATGTCCAATATAATTTCGGCGAACTTGTTCGAGTTGTTGTACTACGCCAATTTCAATTTCAATAAAGTAGTTGTATTCTATGAAGCACCGACACGCGAAAACAAGCCCCGAGTCCATGTCTGACGCGTAACACCGCCGACTCACGTCAATGCCCCGACACGTTAGTTCTAATTTATGTCATGTTAGTTCTAATTTGTACCATGTTAGTTCTAATTTGTACCATGTTAATTCTAATTTATGCCATGTTAGTTCTAATTTATGTCATGTTAGTTCTAATTTATACTATGTTAGTTCTAATTTGTATCATGTTAGTTCTAATTTATGTCATGTTAGTTCTAATTTTTATCATGTTAGTTCTAATTTCTGTCATGTTAGTTCTAATTTGTACCATATTAGTTCTAATTTATGTCATGTTAGTTCTAATTTGTACAATATTAGTTTTAATTTGTACCATGTTAGTTCTAATTTATGTCATGTTAGTTCTAATTTATGCCATATTAGTTCTAATTTGTACCATATCGTGTATGTATCCCCGTGTCCGTGTCCGTGTTTCATAGGTTGTATTCATTCAATGCTAAATTGTGTTTAACTACTAGTATAATCATAAATCTAATACAAGATAATATATGGTAATTAGGAAGAACCCTTAAACATCTACCTCTCAAATATCTCTGCCTGACGCATTTTAAAGTATTGTTGTTAAACTGAATTGATTGTTGAGAGATCCATCTTCATGATATCGTCATCTTGTTTCTTCTGTTTAGCTCCATTTTTTGATATTTTTTGATCGGTGGTTTGCTTCATCCACACGAAAGCCTCTCCCATGATGGACTTTAGCGGACTCAGAGTTTTTCACATTTTGTTTCCTCTTGAGCTTTGCCGCTTTCCTCCCTTCAGCCCTTGCTATAACATCATCCGAGTCAGTGTTCAACTCGATGGGGGTTGCTGGAGAGGAATTGTTTGGTGAGGAATCAGAGTTTTTGGTTCTTCTCGTCTGTGATCGAATCTTATTGTCAGTTTCAATCTGTTGGATCAACTTTTGATGATGACGCAACTCAACTCAGCAATGGTCAAACACAAATGGTTTACCATAAAGAGATTGATATAAGTTTTTTACTTCTGCAGTCTACACATGAGTTAAATTTAGAATAATTAAATGTATGATGCTTGAAGAGAACGGTGAAGAAGACAAACGTGCACAGGAGGAGCCCATAGGTGTTTATAAGTTAAATATTTACATGATCAATAGTTTCCGTACCAGATCTTTGTCTTCCTTCAATTTAAGAAACGCACCTGCAATACTTGTTGACGAACAGTTGAATCTTTGACCAACGATGTATTATTTGGTTTGGTGTGCGGCTCGTTGGATCAGTGGAGTATGGGAGAAAGTAGTCATTAGCTTTATGCCAAAACTTATCTTTGTGTTGCCCCATACCTTGGATGGCGTCTTGGCTCATGTTCAGCCAAGCAGACACAAGAAGCTTATCCTCGTGGACAGTCCAATTTTCGGACCACATGTAAGCCTTTTTCTTCTTTGTGGCCGGTGTTTCTTGGGATGACACTTGTTGTGTTGCCGATTGCGAGAACTCATGGATGAGGTGACCTTTTTCTACGACGTCTGTGTAGAACGGCGGGTATAAGGCTGATCCTTCACCGGTAAGGAGTTGCGAATAAAAGTTTTGGGAGGGATCCATAAGATTTGTAATTTGATAGGAAAATATAGAGTTTTTTATGAGAGAGTTGTGTGAAATGTTTTGTGTAGCGAATTGAGTATTTATTAAAAAAATTTACTGTTCATGCTAATTTTTTATATCTCAATAGCTAGTTTTTAAACGGCTAATTTACTGTTTATGTAAGTTTTAAAAAATCTCAACGGCTCGTTTACTGTTCATGTCAGGTTCGAAAAATCTCAAGGCTAATTTCTCAAAAAAAAATTTAATGGCCGGGAGCTCCCAAGCGCTCCACAAGTTTAAATATGTGGCACGTGCCAAAATGACAGGATGAAGAAAAATAAATGAACGAGCATCACCGCATGGCGCATGGCTAATAATTAATGTGCGAGGCCACGTCAGCGCCGCAGCCAGCACACAAACGTACTGTTAGATCCCTCGAGCCAACCACATCGACAGTCAACAGAAAAAAGAAAAAAAAGAGGAAAAAAAAAACGAACGAAAAAATAATGGCGATGGCGTTGAGATCACTGAGAACTAGAGCATCATCAATCGTACTCTCGCGAGGCTTATCCTCTTCTTCCCTTCAAGATCCCCAATCTCAACAGCAGCAGCTGAACCTCTTCTCTGCGATCAATCAAGCCCTCCACATCGCTCTCGACACCGATCCTCGGTATCGAAGTTCATTTCGATCCTCGCTACTTCTTTTTTTTTTTTTGCAATATTTGATGGATTTTTCTGTAATTTTTTCTTTTTTCAAAGGGCTTATGTGTTTGGAGAGGACGTTGGATTCGGAGGCGTTTTTCGATGTACGACTGGACTCGCCGATCGATTCGGCCGCCATAGGGTTTTTAATACTCCCTTATGTGAACAGGTACTCAAAGTTAGGAGGGAAAACGAAATTTTTTTGATTCAGTGCTTAATTTGTAACAGTTAGATTCTGTGATTTATTGTTTTTTATTCTATTTTTTGAAGGGAATTGCTGGATTTGCGATTGGTTTGGCTGCAATGGTGATTTTTCTAAATTATATCTATCAGTAGAGTTAAATTTTTTTTTTCATATATAACCTACAGACATATTTGCAAATTTGCCCTGAAATTCAGATATTGGTTAAGAGTAGTGGTAACTACGACTCTACTCTTGCCAAACTATTTTCACACTGCAAGAGAAGAAAAATATCTTTCTTCAACTTTTATTGGAATTGATGACTCATCAAGGACACCACACTTCTGTCTCTAGTAGTGTGGAAGTAGTTTGGAGAAATGTAGTGTAGTTAGCATTATTCATTTGTTAATTTTACCCTAGTCCCACACATCGAGTAAAAATATCCTTGAATATCACTAATTTTTGTTTACAATGTTTAGATGAAATTTAACCCTTCTACTGGTTAAAATCAATGACATTATGCTTGGAGGGTATTTAACTCAATGTGGTAGAAATGTAGATAAATCAGCAAATATCTAGATTTGGGGGTAAATTTGCAAATATGGTTTGATTTGGGGGTACATACGTAAAAAAAACCCTTTTTTATGGGGGAAAACCCATCCTTATATTGTTTATTTTTGTTCAATAGGGGAATCGAGCAATTGCGGAAATTCAGTTTGCAGATTATATATTTCCTGCTTTTGATCAGGCAAGTGTTTAGCATTAATTGTTTTGAGTCTCAAAATTGTGTAATTGGTTTCCATGAAGGATTCATATATATTTCAAGGGCATTTCCCAAAAACAAATAATGTGACCAACTTTCAGATCTTGAATCTGATGCGCTCTCCCAATTTGAGTGGTCCCTGCTTTGTTTAATGCATTGTTAATGTTGTACCCACAGTATCTTTGTTTAATGCATTACTAAACATGTGGGTAGCTTAATGTTGTAACAGAAGCTGTAGCCCCAAGTAACTTTGTTTACTGCATTGCTAAACATGTGATTCTGCTAAGATTTTTAGGCCCATTATTTGACATCACTCATCAGTTAACATCTTCTCTCATTTAACATCGTTAAATGTTAGTGAGAAGAGGTAAAATGACGAAAAACACCCCTCTATGAATTTTAACGGTGTTAAAGGAGATGTTATAAAAATCTAATGTGGAAGGATGTAAGGATAAATTAAAAAATATGCAGACTTGAGGGCAAATCTTCAAGTATGATAGATTTGGGGAGTGTATAGGCAAAAACTAGCTACATACAATTTGCAATGCAGCAAACTCTTTTTCTCTTTGCTCTTATGTACACCATTCCATTCACAGTGGTTGAAATGTACTTTATGGGTATCCAAAATCAAAGTCTATACGCCTTCTTCTAAAATCTGTATTCTCTACCAAGCTATTGAAGCTAGTCAACCTTTTACTAGTTGGGGATAAATTCCCAGAAAAGGCAACTATTGAGAAATTAAGTGGCCTTGCCATCTAATCTGAAATGCTAACTAGCAGGTAGTAATCTGCTTTTGAGAATCATCTACTTTTAAGCTCCTGGGCTTGAAAGAAACCTTCCAGATTACCTAGATTAGAGAAGGCTCCAGAATTAAGACAACAATATTGGGATAATTCATCCATGCCTTTGAGGTAAAAAAATTAGGAATTGCACATTCTCCTTCTGTTATGTGATACTGAGTCCATGTTACTTTCTCATCTTCAGATTGTCAATGAAGCAGCAAAATTCAGATATAGGAGCGGGAACCAATTTAATTGTGGAGGTATATTGGTGCATGGTTTTCTATAGATCTTTTGGTTTCAGATGCTCTCAAATTGAAATACTTCAATGTCACAGGTTTAACAATAAGATCTCCATATGGTGCTGTTGGACATGGTGGTCATTATCATTCACAATCACCGGAGTCTTTCTTCTGTCATGTTCCAGGACTTAAGGTTCTGCACCTGTTCCTCTATGATTAATGTCCATAACTCGATCACAGTTAGCAATTTCAAGATTTTTCTTTTTTATTGATTAACATAATGACTGAGGATCATCTGATATTATTACTGGGAACATTATGCCTTCAATCACAGGACTACTTGAAGAAGTTTATCATTGCTATTATAGAGTTTGTTTCCCAGTTTTGAGTGTTGTACTTTTTACTTTTCTAGGTGGTGATACCTCGAAGCCCACAGCAAGCAAAGGGATATTATTGTTGTCTTCCATACGTGATCCTAATCATGTTTTATTTTTCGAACCAAAGGTATTGATTCTATATATGCAAAATAACTCTCTATTTCCAAATGCTAGGAGTACTTATTGGAGTTCCAACAGATAGTTTGCATAAAATGCAGGACGGAATTTCTTGCAAGCTCATCGATCTAAGAACACTACTACCCTGGGATAAGGAGACAATATAGGCCTCTGTCAAAAAGACTGGAAGGCTCCTGGTAAGTAAAGTCCTTGATCTGTACTTACCATGTTAATATTTGATTATGTATTTGTCAGCAGTTTATATTTTATCCATTGGCATATTAGTCATGAAGCACCACTTACTGGAGGGTTTGGTTCTAAGATATCTGCTTCAATCATGGAATGTAGTAGTAAAGTCTAATATATCATAAGTTGCACCGGTACAATGACAAGTTAAGCTGGTTTAGGAACTCCAGATAAATGGTTTTTTTATACTTGGAAATTTTAGGTGCCACCATACCAGGATCCAAGCGAATATGCTGTCTAAGATAATTTTTAATAATTCATACACCTAAAACGATAATAGAAGGATATCTTGTTCAGTTTAGACTGTTCCTTTGTATGGTCATGGCTGCACCTTTCGCTTTATTAATAAGGAGGAGGGAGAGGGGGAGGAGGGGGAGGGGGTTAGGAGCATGATGGGGTTTTAATAAGGGGGTTTTATGTAAGAAATCCCATCAGCATTGACCGGAATAGTAACTCCGGCCAAATTTAAAGCCTATATGGCGCCGGAGTCGACAAAATATACCAATCTGACAAAACTAAAAGAAAATATACCAACATGTCACCAAGCCTCTACAAAATATATCAACCTGGCCATTTTGCCTATATTAAATGTAAATATTATAGAGTTATTATCAACATTCTTATTATATTATACTATACTATACTATATTATAGTTAATTTAATATATTAGTAATATTTATTAAATAATATAAAAAGATAATAAATAAAATATCTTATATAATAATATAATAACATATTAAATACCAATATTTAATATGTTAATAATGTATTATATAATAAATAAATAATAATGATATATAAATAAACTAATAAAAAATAATAAAAAAGTTATTGATAATAAATAATAATATTAATAATGATTATGATAATCAATACTATTACAATCAGTATAATCGTATAATATTATTAACTTTTTAATAAATAAATTATAATAAATTACATAATTATAAATTATAATATTAATATTAACTATTTAATAATAACAAAACAATATGAATAATATTATTATAATAACATATTGTATAGTAAATCGTAATGATATATATTTAAAATATTGATATATTTGTAACAAATAATACTTATTATTTATAAAGTAAAATAAGTGTTTAATAATAAAATAATTTATGCTAACAAATGTTTAATGTAAAAATAATATATTCAAAATATAATAATATTTATTTATATCATAAAATACTAATATATTATTAAATAATATTTTATTTATATCATAAATACTATATATTATTTTAACAGCTACTATAATAAACTTTTAACATAATTAAAACTATACTATCATTGTATAGTCAATATGTAAGAATATTCTATATATATTTAACTTACTTAATGAACATCACTAGTCTAATAATGCATTATTAAATAATATTATATATATGAATAATAGTATAATATTATATTAATAATAGTATAATATTATATTAATAGTAAAATAACATTATTATAAAAATATTAATATAATATACAATAATAACAAATTGATATACCAAAATAATTAAATATATAATTATTTAAAATAATATGTAATAATTATAATATAATATAACTCATTAAAGTAGAATATAATATTATAATACATTATACAATTTTATTTTACATTATATTTAATACTTATAATACAATAATAATGTAAACTAAATATTATAACATTTTATTTACAATATATTTTTATAATTAATATATAATACATTAATAATATGTTTAATACTAATGTTATAATGGGTCAAACTAGTGTTGACCAAAAATACTTAACATAGTGTTTTGAAAATATTTTAAGGGAAAAACATAACATCATGGTGTTTTTTTTATAAAAACACAATAAGAAAAACACCATGGTATCCAAACGAAGTCGAAGGTTTGGTCGATTCAGGGATAGTTCCTCCGACATTAGTTCAGGGTCATGTTGAGGGTGAGGTTCAGATTGATGCACCTGGTACTGATGCTCCCGTACAGGTTGATGATGGTGTTGGTGATGATTATCATGTTGAGACACCAACTACCGAGAACATGCCTCCTATTAGAAGATCGACGAGGGATCAAAGACCATCGATGAGATATGATCCTAGTGAGTATGTGTTACTTACTGAAGGGGGAGAACCAGAAAGCTTCGATGAAGCTTTGGAAGATGAAACAAACATGAATGGTGGAAAGCCATGAATGATGAGATGGATTCTCTGTACAAGAATCACACATTTGAGCTGGTGAAGTTGCCTAAGGGTAAACGAGCATTGCTTAACAAGTGGGTATACAGGATTAAGCATGAAGAGCACGGTTTGCATCCTTGGTACAATGCTAGGTTGGTTGTTAAGGGATTTAGTCAGAAGAAAGGAATTGACTTTGATGAGATTTTTTTCTCCCATTGTGAAGATGTCATCCATTCGGGTTATTCTTGGATTAGCAGCTAGTCTTGATTTGAAGCTTGAGTAAATGGATGTGAAGACAACCTTTCTTCATGGTGAGTTAGAGGAAGAGATTTATATGGTACAACTAGAAGGCTTTGTCAAGAAGGATAAAGAGAATTGTGTTTGCCACTTGAAGAAAAGTCTTTATAGTTTGAAACAAGCACTGAGACAATGGTACAAGAAGTTTGAGTCAGTTATGGGGAAGCATGGTTACAAGAAGACTTCTTCTAATCATTGCGTGTTTGTGCAGAAGTTCTTTGAGGATGATTTTATCATCTTGTTGCTCTATGTGGACGATATGTTGATTGTGGGCAAGAACTCAGAGAGAATCAAGCAATTAAAGAAACAACTTAGCCAGTTCTTTATATGAAAGATTTGGGACCTGCGAAGCAAATTCTTGGGATAAAAATTGTTCGGGACAGAAGTCGCAAGAAGCTGTGTCTGTCATAGAAGAAGTACATTGAGAAAGTACTTCAAAGGTTCCAAATGGATAAATCTAAAGCTGTTAGTTCACCTCTTGCTACGCACTTTAGATTGAGCAGTCAACAGAGTCCGACTACAGATTCAGAGAAAGATGATATGGCCCGAGTTCCGTATGACTCTGTAGTGGGTAGTTTGATGTACGCTATGGTGTGTACAACACTAGATATAGCTCACGACGTTGGTAGTGTTAGTCATTTTCTTTCAAACCTAGGAAGAGAACATTGGAGTGTTGTGAAGTGGATTTTGAGATACCTTCGAGGGACTTCCGGGTTGAGACTTACCTTTGGGGGTGAGAAACCTTTGTTAATCGGTTATACCGATGTTGATATGACCGGAGATATTGATTCTTGAAAATCTACTTCGGGTTACTTGGTAACGTTTGCGGGTAGAGATGTAGCATGGCAATCGAAGCTACAAAAGTGTATTGCACTTTCTACCACTAAAGCTGAGTTCATTGCTGCAACTGAAGCTTGTAAAAAGTTGTTGTGGATGAAGACATATCTTGAGGAGCTCGGTTTCAAGCAAGACAAGTATGTATTGTTTTGTGATATTCAAAGCACCATTCATCTTGGGATGAACTCAACATTTCATTCGAGGTCGAAGCACATCGATGTTAGGTATCATTGGATACGTGATGTCTTGAGCTCTAAGGAAATTCAACTTCAAAAAGTTCATACGGATGATAATCGAGCTGATATGTTGACAAAGGCTTTGCCAAGAGGGAAGCTTGAAGTTTGTCGAGGGATCGCCGGGATGGCAGTTTCCTCCACCTAGTCGGAAAGGGGAGATTTGTTGGTTTTCCTCCGAGTGGAGGAAACCAAATGATATTTTGGTTTGGGTTGGATAACTAAAATACCCATTAAATCCGTTTGAGAGAAAATTTGTCAAATTAGATTCTGATTAGGGTTTATAATCAGTGTGACAAAAATTGAAAATAGTAATAGACAAATTCGTTTTGAGAGAAAAGAAGGGAGAAGAGGAAAAGTCACTTTCGTACAGCTGTGATCAGTGTGAAGATCGGACACTCATCTGTCATCTGATCGGTGTAAAATTTGGAGGGTAGCTTCTACACTTGTTGATATTAATTCTGAATGGTGGATATTGGTTTCTATCGGTTGGTTTTGGATATATCAAGGTTTTACCAAAGCTGATCGTTCCAGGGGTTCAGAGACGGTCTTCTTCTGCATTGTTCTGATCGTTTGGATAATCGTACGGCGATTTCTTCTCTGATTGATCTAAAACTTTGAAGGTACATCTTAAAATCGTGGTTCTAGGATTTGAATGGTAGAGATTTGATTTGGTTACCGGAATCCTTGTGAACCAAGAGTTTTTTCGTACAGCCTAAGGTTTGGTTTTGTTGGGTGACGATACGCCCACCCGCCACGGAAGCAAATCACCTTGAGAGAAAGCCCTGACTTTTATTTTCACAAAACAAAAGCCAATCTCGATGTTCCTATTTCGATAACGAAAACAAGAACAGAAGTGAATATCTCAGCAATGTGAGATATATACTCTTTCCAATATCATATCTAGGTCTGGATATCGAGAGAACCAACCAACACAAGCAATAGCCAATACAATAAGTGAGATACAAAATTTACGTGATTCGACAAACTTGCCTACGTCCACGGGGATGGGTGAAGGGAGATTCCACTACGATGGAGAAAACCGACATCTTGACAACCCACAAGCTCGTCCCAAAGAGATGAGGCTTCAATTTTACTCAAGAAAGATGATCTCTTTCTTGTACAATCCCTCCAAGTTTTCTCTCTTTTTCTCTCCTCAAGATCTCACCTTTCAGATCTGAAAAACTCTCCTTTTCTCTGAAAAACCAACGCACAAAACCCTAGGAACGAAGTTCCTATTTATACCAAAAGAATTAGATCGAAACAGGCCTAAAAACCACATCCTGAAAATTCTCATCGGCTACCTCGGAGCCAGCGTGAGACACATAGTGTGTCTTGGACTTGGGAGATGCCGAGACACACAATTGGGTGTGGCCCCCGCGAGACGCAAAATGTGTCTCGCTCCACACGTTCACGTGTGGCCCCCGCGAGACACATTTCAAAATATGTCTCACTCCACACGTTAACGTGTG